AGGACTCGGTCAACAAACCCTGGAAGGAATTGTGGCCCACGTTCCTCGAGGTGCTTCTTCAGAGCTGAAGAAAGAATCCAGTAGAAAAAATATCCTACTGTACTTTGACCCATTATGCAAAGACCTAGCTCTCTAGAGAAGGCTCTGATGCTGGGAAAGGTGGAAGGAAAGAGAAGAAGAGGACAACCAGCAGCAAGGGGGAGGGACTCAGTCACAGCAGCAATGAGGGCATCGCTGGAAGACCTGAAGGACCAGGCTGGGGACACAACATCATGGAGAAAATCTACCTACAGTATTTGGCTGCTAGGAGTCAACCACAACTTGATGGCATGTAATCATTATCAGCCAGGCAATTAAACCATGCGCATTCACACAAGTTTCTTAACCTGGTTACATAATGAAGCTATGTTTCTGGGCTCACCAGAACATTGAGCCATTAAGTAATATTGAACCACCATCAAAGGAAGACCTTTGGGAATCGTACATTACATTTCTCTAGATGTAATATTTAAACAAATGCAACTAACACAATTCTTTCCCATCTATTGGGCACCTACGTGCTTCTTTAAAAAGGCAAGGATCAGCTGCAGGTGCCAGAAGCAACCTTTATTTGTACTTTCTGTGATCTCGTTTTCTGCTATAGTGGCTCCCTTTGGACAGAAGATATTTCACATATTAATTTTGTTCTGGAAGACTCCACGTTTCCCTTTTCTTTTTAAAAGGTATTTATGTTCTCTTGAAGAATACACTGATGGTTTGAAAATGAACAGGAAAAGTACAGAAATGATGCGGCATGCATTTTTAGTTACCAAGTAATCAATACCACCCATCAGTTACTGAATAAGCACAAGAACTCACTTCTATTTTTCTACCTGAAGAAGCATATTATAACTGGGACTCCCATTTGGAAACGATTTAGACATCCCTTCTGTGTGTACTTATTTGTAAGGATGCACAGAGCTTTGGGTCCTTTGCAGGTCCCATGCGTGACCCCTTTGATCTGAGACAGGACCACTCATCAGTCATGGCCATCATGAAATGCTCTTAAAAGGTTGGTCTTAGTGGATGCTGAAGCCCCCCAGGACCAATGGCTCCTGGGACACCAACGGCAGGGAAATGTGTGCCTCTATTAAGGAAGAGTCATGGTGCACCAAGAGGGCCTCCATTGTGTCTCACTTCCCCTGCTCCAAATAGTCACAATGGGAGCCCCTGGTTGGGTCTGGTCAGGAGAACAGAATCTTTTGCAGTCATGGGAATCTCTCCCAACCCCCTTCACATCTCTGCTCCCAAGAACAGAAACCCGGTGGGAGAATCTGGAACCGGATGATGTCACCCAGATCTTCCAGCCATGTTTGGTCTTGTTCATCCAGGACCAAATCTGCCAGATTATTTGCTACTGAACTGTTGTTTCACAGAAAAGAAGCTACAGCAGGAAGAGCTGAAATGGAGATGTAATCTATCTTGATTTTCAGCAAAGCTTTGGAGAAGGTTCCACAACCTACTCTGGGTGGGTGAGAAGACTGGGTTGAGAGGAACGAGATGTCCTTTAACAGGAAAAATGTAAGGCTTCACATTTAGGGAGAAAAAAGTAGGGCAGGTGTACAAGATGGGGGATTTATGGTTTAGAGGCACTACATCTGAGAAAGACTTGGGTGTAGTCACTGACAAGAAGCTGAACAATGCATCAGAGAAGTGTGAAGTCCTTTTCCCTCTACTTTGCACTGGTAAGACCATACCTGGAGTACAATTCTGGGCACCACATTTCCAGAAGGGGATTCTCAGGTTTGGAGGAAGGTGACAAAGATGATGAAGAAATTTGAGGACATGCCGTATGAGGACAGGCTGAAGGAATTTGGGGTGTTTAGTCTGGAGGTGACTATGTTCAGGTAGATAAAGGGAAGATATAGGAAATATGGTCAGGAAGTCTTGCCCATGGCCACAGAAACCAGGACTGGAAATCAGATATGCTCAAATAAAGGGGAAATCGTCCTCACTAAGTTCTGTACAAGAGTATTACAGTCCCTCTACAGAGGTGGTGAGTTTTTCATTCCTGGAGGCATTTAAGAAGGGGTTGCACAGCCACCTTCAGTTGATTCTCCTTCAGAGGGTTGGACTAGATGATCCTTGCAGTCCCGTCTAACTGCACAATCCCAGGATTCCAGGATTCCCTACAGTGGCCAGGTCTGAACCTCTGTCTCCTGAAATGACCCTGCTAGGTCCACCATAATACCCTGGAAGCCCACAGTTATCCTTCCTAGGAAACACTTGAAGACGATCTTCTTCACTGGAGGTCTTCAAGCAGAGGCCAGATAGTCATCCATCAAAGATGCTCTGGCCTGAGCAGGGGGCTGAGTTAGATGACCCCCAAGGTCCCTTT